GCTAGCCACACGGATGCGGCGGGACATCCGGACGGCAGCAAGAATTCTGACAAAAAACGCACGGGCCGCGGTTTAAAATGTATGCAAATGCGCGTGACGAGTCGGCACCGCCTCGCGATGGAATACGTAAGTATACGAAGGGCGGAGGAAGAACAAGAGGACGATGAAGAATAAAAAGGAACGAGACGAAGAGGAGGAGGAAGAAGAAGAGAAAGAAGAAGAAGAAGAGAAAGAGGAAAAAGAAGAAGAAGAAGAAGAGGCGGCGTGTGCGGAGCGGACATAACGCCGATGGCCACTGGAACGGCACGGTGGCAAGCTGCTGTTATCTCTTTCCCTCCAGCATCCCGAGCAACGTACAAACGCGCGTGCACCGGCTGCTGCTGGTCTGTGTGCGTGGTTTTACGCAGCCACTTGGAATGGCCGCCCCGTGTGCGAGTGCAAAAATTACTCTCCTCCTGCGGTGGCCGGTGGTCGCGCGAACCTTTCCACGGGGGGAGGAGGGAGGAGAGGGGGGAGACGACGTCGTCGCTGGCGTCGTTGACGTCGGACCAGCAACGGCTTCCGACGTGGCCCCCGGCGGAAGCCGCTCCGGTAACAGCCCCCGCCTGTCGATATCGCCGATGCATACTCAATGAGCGACAGATCGTCGCCTCGGGGTGAAGGGGCGTTGGGTATATAGAAGACGGAAAGGGGTACAGCGGCAGCAGCGGCACCGGCACCGGCACCAGCAGCCGGGACAAGGTTCCAGAGTAAAAAAATACGGCAACGTTTCGCCTGCGTGAATCCCCGCGCGCGTACGCCGCCTGTTTAATATTTATGAGAGAGGCATCTAGGAATAATCTACGTCTAAATGAAAACGCTCCCACCGATTCGTGCCGCGATCTCCGAGAACACTCTCTCTTTCTCTCTCCCTCTTCTTGCATTTCTTGGCCCCACCAGCTGTTGTGCCAACAACTGGATGGATCGTCCTTAGACGCTTGATCCGCGATTAAATTATTCCTGCTTTGTTTGGCAAAGGGTTGTTTTCTTTTAAATTTCAAATTTCGTTCTAGACGAAAGAAAACGAGTCGCAGAATAGAACGGTTAGAATATCTATTAGTTTTTTTTTTAATATGATTAAATCCGAAGGAACGATTACATCTCGGATCGATATGGAAAAGGAAAAAAAATTGAGAGCTATTCGCGGCGAAGAATCATGCGTCTGACCACGAACAGTCCTAATTCTACTGCGAGTCTAGGATTCTACCGCGCAAAGTTTCCAACCATCGTGTCTATCTGTGCGCACATACACGCGCACAGCTCTCGATATTCGTCACTGAGTGATGTGTGTCAGCGTACGTGGATACCGTAATTGATGCTTGCAAAAATGTAGTCCTTGACTCGATAATACCAGTCGATAGCGGCACACCGTTTCAGCGCAGTTCTGTTAACTGTAGTTACAACCTAGTTATACAATGGCGGGACGTATGGACGATAAAACTTTCGGAAGGTTTCGAAAGGTTATGGTAATGCGAACGTAAAAACGGAGAAGTTCCGTTGCATCTGACTCACGCGCTTCCTTGGGAAACGTCGGATCGTATCGTTCTAAAGCCGAGCTAAACTAGATACCAAATTTATTTCTGTGTATCCTCCGGGAAACGTTATCTCCTTTCCACGTAATAATCGCCGCTCCGACTTTTATCTTCTCCCTCCATCCTTTCTTTTTTTTTCTTTTTAACGATATAATATAACGTGGAATTAGAGAAATCCCAATTTTTTTTCATTTTAAATATATGTATATAAA